CTCTAGGATTTAATATGTTCTGCTGCTTATGGGGTATGGACCTCGTATACTTTGCTTTACCTCTTTGGACTGGTTCACTCGTTTATAAAATGGTAATATGATATTACACCCCCGCAATGGAGCTCCTATGGGAGAATACATAAGATAGTGTGTATATGAATGGATAGAATCAAGTTATTTCCTTACTGTCTTTATGAAGTGCTTTACCTGCCAGTCAACCAATCACAATGTGCTCTTTATACAACAGTAGAAAGCTGCTTCTCTGAAGACGATCACAGCCTCATCAACTTACAACGGGTGTCCCCAGGAACAATTTGTCAGGTGTAACCAATAAGATAAATAGGTGTGAAAGCGATCTGTGGCATCTATCAAAACCTGACTCATTGGGGGTGATTTGCTATTCCCTGGTTAACTGGCTGGCTTATAACGCCTTCTGCCCTTACTATGTGTATCTTATTTGAAGCTGCAGACTCAAAAAGTCGTCTTCTGGGACAGAGGAGTCTTTGTCAGTCGTAGGTGTGGCCTTCACTAGAACCTCTAACTTGCTCTACTTGTGAGACCACTTAAGATGTATTTGTATATGTTCTGGGTTTGCCCATTTGCAAAGCTTAGACAGAAATCCAGATTAGATCATGAGGAACATGACGAGTACTAAGCTATCAATGTAGTGGGGACACAGCCATGCAGAGCTGGAAATGCTGACTCAGTTCACGCCCTGGGAAGTGGAGAACAGTCATTTCCTGCAGAAGGCAGTTTACAAAATGCATTGAATTTCTACACTTGGGGAATATTAAGACTGGCCTCATGCTAGATGTCAAAATAGCATTTTGGAGTGAATTTTTAAAAATTGACAAGCAATATTGATGTGTGTTTTTATAATAATGTAGATGATGATTTGATGTGCACATTTTGGAAGAGTTAAATCTAGCTGGTTAACAAACACATTACTTCACATAGCTATGGTAGCAGTAATACCATTGCAAAGGTGGCCTTTTGAGTATTCTAAGGGAATAGAAAGCTTGTGATTCCTACTTGCAATCAATTAGGGTTAGGCAGACATAATGCCTTCCTATTTGCTCCAGGCAGCATTGAGGGTAATTCTGCACAATTATTTTTAGTCATCTTCTTATTGGACTTTTATAGATAGTGATTACCCTAGTCAGTATCCCCATTTTTGCAGATAGATCCCAGGAGTTCAGAATGAGATAATTACAGGGTGCTGTCTTTCCTGCTGGGCTTCACGAATTGTCCACCGCGGGATTTCAGATGCAGAGCCCGAGAAGTAGCCCTTCACTTTTCTTCCTTATGCTGATTTATTTCCACAGTCTCCCAGATCTCCCAAGTCATGAAGGGCCAGAACACTGTAAGAACACTGTTGTCAAGTCAGTTACCACTCCAGGCCCAACATTGCAGGTCTAACTTACAGGCGTACAATAGCAGCTAACCTTGGGCTTCCTTCTATATTCCTGTTTCATCCAAGCAACACCTTAGCTATAGCATGGTGTCAGAGGACCCCTGCCTACTGACCAGTGCTCCCTGCCTGTCTGGGCCACAAATCCTTACATCATCAGCGAGGGCTAAAACCTTAGCTGGGTAACATTCAGAAGTTCACAAATTACCCCTTTCTCAACACAGAAGAAAATGGATGTTTTCAGAGTGGTTTGCCTCAGGGAAACACTGTGTACTCGACGCAGTCTTTGTGTGTTTATAATTTCTATTTGGTTCTTTCGGTTGTACACAGAGCTCAATCATCCCGTCTCTCTCTCTCTCTACACGCATGCGCACATGCGCACACGCGCACACGTGCATGCACACGCATGCGCAGACACACGTACACACACACTACCTTCCAACTCTACCTTCACAGTGCTGTCAACTCTTTCAATTTTCTCACTTATTTTCACTGTGAAAAGTTCTTATGCTGAATTAGAAACACTGAATCCTTGTCATTATAGGAAGAAGGGCTTGGTTCAGAACATTCTTGATTCTCATTAGCATAAGGAGGTCAAAACTACATATGCCAGATGTGTGCGGCTCCCTACACCAACATTCTAAGGTGTCAAACTGAAGCTTTCAGAATACTCTTGAGAACTAGCACATGACATGTGAGGCTTTAGGGTTTATGAAAGCCCATAACTAATGATAACCAGGGCTGAGCAGCCCAGAATGAAAAAAAAAAAAAACAAAGGAAACACACTTGGCCAGTCCATCTTCATGAGCAATGATTAGGCCACCAAAGATGGCATCACACTAGCCTTGTCTTTAAGTACTTGTTTCTACTTTGAAATGAAAATTGAAAGAGATATTAGATAGGTACAAGAATATAACCGAGGGCAAATGCCTGTCTCATCACAGAACCACTGTGGAGACGGGCACTGTGAGAAGACTGGCAGCTTTAGAGCTGCAGAGACTTGAATTCCCATTCCACTTTGCTGTTCTTTAGCTGTGTGATCTTGAGTAAGTCACAGAACCTCTCTGAGCTTTATTTTTCACATTGTGACTTAAATATGGAAAATCATACAGTTTTACAATTTAATGTAAATAAAATGTAGCATACACCTGGTAGAGATGTAGCAAGTACTGATTGCCACTGTTATTATTAAACAAAGAATGTGACCATGGAGAAAGGAAAAGCAGAAATGTTACCCATATGGACAAAACCAAGTATGACTGTAGGCCCGGGGTTTGATGCATCGTGATTCACTTCATCAATTTGAAAAGAGGTACCTTTCATTTCCAGTGTCTTCTCATATATAAGGTCACAGCCCCAGCATGGCTGTAATACATCATTTCCAAGGCAGTCTCACGGGGAAGTATTCTTTCTGCAACATGATGTCTGTGTCTGCTAACCCTCCCTCTTAACACCAACATTCCTCCTTGTTATGCATTCCATCCTCAGAGGACATGAGGGCTTTTACTGGTAACTTCTAGGCAGTCACAAAAAAGACTTGCTCCACCTTTTTGCCATTTAACCGGAGCCAAAGGCAACTGTACACCATGTAGATGTTCCAAAATAAGGCCTTCCTCCCGACTTTTCACCCTCTTCCCTTTAGCCATAAGTAGGTTTGACTCCTCCATTTTGCTCCCAGTTGCTAGCATTCCAAAAATGACTCCAGTAAAATAGGTAGTAGGCATGGGTGCTGCCTTCGGGGGTGGGCGGTGGGGGGGTCCTAGCCTACCACAGCTGCAGGTAATTGCTGCTCTGATGAGGATAAACAAAAGAGAGTCCTGGGTCAGCTGCCACTGCCATCTCTGAGCTCTACCCATAGTGTTAACTGGTGGTGACAGTGACAGTGCTCTCAGAGCAATGAGTGCCCTTGTGACACTGGAGGCAGTTGGTGGAAACAAAGCTGTATGTCCCCCACGGGGACGGTAAAATGGAAAATGGGCCTAAACAGATTTTCTTCCATTTATTTTCGGGGATGTTGGGTTCAAGTGAGAATCTTCTAATAGCTTCCCAGCCTTGTAACCATATCTCTCAAGGAAGTGAAGAGATTTTGTGAATTAAAGCCGACAAAGCTTACCAATTAATGATGTTAACTCTATACGGCTAAGCTAACAGTTAGGTGCCGTGGACCTGATGAGTGCAGCTATGGAATAATAATCTGCAGGCAGTACTCCCCTCTGTGAAGGATATGTATTGCTTCAGCTGCTTTTGTTCTGAAGTGGGGGCTGTATCACTGTTGATCCTCACTAGAAAAGACCTTGAACTTCATTGGTCAGAGTCCCGGTGTCAGCTGAGACAATGTCTAGGTTCCCACCTCTCTCGCTCTCTTCATCCTCTCTAGCTCTCTCAAACTTTCCAGGGAACACTTTCTTTTTTTTCATCTAAACTCTAAAATCTGATTCAGAGTTTGGCACTTACCAGGTTTTTTTACCCCTACTTAACTACTGTTCCTATCTCCCCTATAGCTTAGGTGTTAGCCTACTTACTGAGATCAGTAGTAAAGAAATACGACCCTCTTTAAAATAGTCTGAAGGGCAGTTCCATCAATTTATTCTAAATAAGGGGAACATTTGGGAGATTATAAAGGCTTAAAAACACTTAAGAAAGACGTAGGTGGAGTGGTTCAGTTGGATCCTGATACTTTTCTAATTATTCCAATGTTGCTGTAGTAAGAAGTGACCCTGTCAATTGTTCTTGGAACCTCCCTTAACATAATAAATAGTCCAAGCCTTGGCAGCAGTTTAAATATTGCAGTCTAAATACGGATCAGCGCATTATTCAATCTTCAAGAAGTTAATCGCTTCTTAGGTACTTTTCCATCTCTTGTAATCTTCCCAACCTTGCACTTTTAGGGAGCATTACAGAATTATTGTCTCACATTCCCTCCTTAAAACACAAGTTTTAATTTCAATAACCACCAGTTTCATTTGAAAGTAATTTCTTTTATGAATTGATATCTTTTGAAGCTCAGTATTTTGGAATATCTACATTAGAATTGCCTAGATCTCTAGACTTAGGCTCAAGAATTTACACTTTAGTAAGCTTTCAATTGGTGACTTAGCACATTGAAGTATATGAATCACTACATTGACAGGAAGCCCCATGTATGTCTCTGAATGGGGAAAACATCTTAAATCTTAAAATCTTTTTTTCCTTAACTGCAGATAATATTTTATTTTCTATAGTACGTGGCATTTATGATTTCCTTAAAACAAATTGTCTATTCCTGAACCTACATTTAAAGCTCACATAATTCTATCTTCTATACTAAGGAGGGTAGAAACAGAAGAAGGAAAGGAACAGTGGCTTGGGGTAAGATAGTAGAGTAAACACAAATGGACACTTCTCCCATCCGAGGCACCAGCCTGGGAAGGGCAAGGATGGTAAGAAACACCATTGAACCATTCTCACCCCTAATGAGCTAAGTGATGACGCCATTGTCACCTCCTGCACAGCCAAGAGCATCAGTACCACACACTCTCAGCTAAGGCTGACGGGGACCCAGAAGCCAGCCCCATTCCCATCCTTCAACTTTCTTGTTTTGTTCCTGCAGATCCGTGACTCGGGGCCTGCAGATAGCACAGTCCAGTTCATCTTCTACCAGCCTATCATCCACCGATGGAGGGAAACGGATTTCTTTCCTTGCTCAGCAACCTGTGGAGGAGGTAATGGTGCTTACCAAGCCCAGGCCTCTGTGAGGAAGGGCTGGGTGCTGTAAGAGTAGAATGACTTCAACATGGAAGAAATTGAGTGCCACGTAGGTCAGTTCCCTTCTGAATGAAGCCAAATTCTGAAGCCAACCCTGAGATACCCTGTGAGGCTTTTCTTTTGTAAAATCTCAGAGCAGATTTTCTGTCCTTGATTTCATGAAAAGCCAAGACAATATAATAAATATAACATAATAGAATAATCTGGGAGCAGGTTTGTTCTCAGGGACTTCCTTCATCTGAACATAAACTACTCATCTGGTTGTGATGAAGTCACTGATTCAAGAACAAACCTCACTGCATTGCAGATGAATGCACAGATACCCCCTTGCCATACATTAAAGGCCGTATCACTTCCTTCATATAGTCTGTATAGTGCATCTTTCCTTAAGACTCACAGAACGAGCTCCTGTCTTTGTGCTGTTGCATCTACATCATGCACAGAAATATCTTGTGTTTCTAGGAAAGGTTTTCTTCCCTGGTTTAAGTACCTCATAATTGCAGTGGGTATATAATAATAACATTGAATTCTTTTCTAATATTTTAGTTATTTCCTTATAAGAGATCACTGTCACATAGTTGTTTTTTTTGGGGGGGGGGTTCTTTTTTAACTCTAGGAAGCTTTGCTCTTTTTTGCTTTTTTTTTTTTTACTTTTTTGATTTACACTTAGTTTTTTAGAATTTATTTCTTATTGAATATTTGCAAATTTTGGACAATATATATTTTAAATATTTTATTATTTTTATTTTATGTGTATGAGTGTATTGACTGCATGTATGTGAGTGCACCTGTGTCATGCAATGCCCAGGAAGGTCAGAAGAAGGCATCAGATACCCTGGAACTGGAGTTACAGACAGTTGTTAGCTGCCATGTGGGTGCTGGGAACCAAACCCAGGTCCTCTGCAAGAACAGCCAGCTCTTAACTGCTGAGCCATCTCTCCAGCTCCTCATACAATATATTCAGATGATATTTAGACCCACTTCCCTATCTGCAGCCCTCTTGTAGCCCCCCCACACCACACCAGATTTTATGTACTCTGTAACATATATTAAGGTTTTCTGAGGCCAGTTTGTGTCCCCAAATGTCCTTTGGTGTGCATCCATCCACTGGAGTCTGGTTAACCTACCCAGTGTCACACCCCTAAAGAAGCTGTCTCTTCCTCGCCCAGCAGTTAGCATTTAGCAGTTGCCAATAGTTCTTCAGCTAAGGTTGGGCTTCTTACCCACTTCTGTGCTGAGATTTGAGCTTGCATAGGACTTGTACATGCTGTTACCATGTAAGTTCATATGAGTAACCCCAGCTATTTGGAAAACTCTGTTTCCTTGTGGTCACTCACCATCTCTGGCTCTTACATCTTCTGTGATGGTCCCTCTGGCTCTTACATCCCCCCTTCTGTGATGGTCCCTGAGCCTTGGGTAGCAGTAGTTTGATATAAGGGATAAGTTCTCTATAGTCTTATTCTCTGCTCTTTGGCCATTTGTGGTTTCCTGGGTTAATCACTTTTTAAGATCTTGTGCTATTATAATGTGGTAAGTAGCTAATGCCTAAGTGTTCTTTCAAAATTTTCCATAGGATGAATACTCAGCAGTATGGTTACTAAATAAAGGAGTTTCAGAATTTCTGTGGCTATGGGATGTATGGCATGTATTACAAAATTCTTTCCTGATAAGTGTGTGGGTATTTTAAATTGTCAACTTTTTGTGGATTTGCTTTCGTTTTCTATTTTAATGGCTACAAATTTAGACATAAATTCCTTAGAATATTAGCATATCTGATAAATTCTCTGTCTAGCTTCATGGAAGCTGGTTGGTTGCCTGACTTTAAGTAGTTCACCCACATGGATATCATTAAGTTAATTTGACAATAGATAAAATGATGACTCCTCAAAATGAGAATGATTGCCTATCAGTTTTTATAAAATAGTAAGAGTATGTGACATTATTCACTATCAGCTGTGTTATCTCTGCCCATATAGTATGAACAAGACACTGCACATAAGGGTCTGTGCAGGAAACTGTGGACTCAAACTGCCATCAAGTGCATTTGCACTTCAATAGAGTAGTAATTCTAGTTGGTCTATCTGTCCTGAATCGAGAATTACTTTTTGAGTCAAGTTTGTGTTCCCAAATGTCCTATGAACTGCCAGGGAACTGCAGAGATGCCTCAGTGGTTAAGAGTACTTGTGCTTCCAGAAGCCTGGGTTTGGTTCCCAGCACTTACATGGCAGCTAACAACATCCTTAACTACAGTTCCAGGTTATCCAATGCCCTCTTCTGGCCTCTGCAGGTATTACACACTTGTAAGCAAAACACTCATATACATAAGAGTGAAAATTAAAAAGTAAAATAAACTGCCAGGATGGGGGCGGGGGTGGCTCAGTGGCTAAAGAGCTTGCCACACAAGAGGACCAGAGTTCAGATTCCTAGCCTCTGCATAACTGCTGGGTGAATGTGGGGGCCTGCAATTCCAGCCTCAGAAGGCAGAGACAAGGTATCCTCAGAGCAAGCTGGTTTGCTAGGCTAGTCATATCAGCAATCTCCAGGTTTGACTGAGAAATTCTGCAAAGGATAAGATGGAAGAGCAGTCAGTAAGATTCCAGGCATCAACCATGGGCCTCCACATGTACACAAGGCATGCGCACCTGCACACACATATTCACACACACACACACGCAAACACCCACATTTATAAACACACACCCTACACGTCCACCTGAAAGAATAAAAAGAAAAAGAACCTGCCAATTATGTTGCTATTTCATACGAATACATTTTGGTATATCTATGAATGACTAGTGCATAAACAGTCCTAAAAGAAAAAGACATTTGAGGAATATTTATTTTAAAATGAAAACCATACTTTGTGTAAAACAGCAATTCAATTACATACACACTGCATCACTTTCACACAGAGATGCTATAAGAGGATTATTCCAGTAACTTTGACAATGCTTTATTATGAAAAGGCATTTAGTGTTACATTCATATATATCCAACCACTTTGGACCTCATTTTCCTCACATGTAAAAGCAGAGCTATTCATGGTTTTCAAGTCTCAAAACCTTGTCCACAGGAAATCATATTAGGAAGCTCAGGTAAAAGCAAAACTATTTCATGGCATGTGGGGTGTGCAGAGTCTTTCTTTTTCACATCAAGGATCAGTTTAAAAATTGATAACGAAACAAGCTCCAGGTCCCCACCTGTGTTCCTGATGCCAGATTCAAGTGGCCGGTCGCTTTGCCAGGTTTAAAGAATTGCTACTCAGAAACACCTTGTGAAACCTTGAAAGACAGGGTCATCTGACCTCCTTAGTCATTTCTTTGACTGTATCTTTTTACTTCATGCATTCTGTAAGGTTTAGGTTGATATATTATAATTTTCAAAACTCAAGTTAATTTATTATTTGTTCCAACATTTTACTATATAATAAATTATGTCCTTGAGTAGAACCTATTATCTGGAAAACTATAAGTGTTTAGCTTATAAAATTAGCTCCTTGGGAAAACAGTGGAATTGAAAATAAAAGTGCATTTGCTTATTTAAAATAACATTTTGCTACTTCATTTTCCAATGAAGCCAAACATTAGCTGAAGCATGTGTTCCTGCCCACTACTTTCACACCTCTCTGTGCTTTTCATTTTCCAGTAGCGTTTTTAAAGGTCTTTTTTTAGGTCTTTGATGAACAATTAATTTTTGTGGGTGGTCTGAGAACATAGTTTCAAGTCAGGAAATCTGACTGAAGTCTCCTGACTTCCTAAAACTTTTACAATTCCTTTAATGATTCAGATCTTGTTTCCAAAATACATATTTAGTAATAACTGTATCACCTACCTGCCAGAAAAAATATATGGGAATAGGATTAGTCTAGATTAAAAGGATACAAATTTTTAATTTTTTCAGTGTTCACTTATATTTCACTCTAAGAGTCCAAGTCTTGATCACTACTTAACCAGAAATACACAAGGCAGGAAAGAAAGCACAAATACATTATGGATAAAATTTAGCATTCTTGGCAACTTTTTTTTTGAAGATTTCTCAAAACAGTGGAAATTTGTAAAGAAAGGCTACAAAACGTCAGCTATATACTTAATTTCAGGAGAAATTGCAAAATATTTTGGAGAAAGTACAAGTTCAGGGAATTTATTTGGAATTTTTGTAGCTTTGTTTTGCTTTTTTACTTTCTTTTTTTGTGGTGTTATTTTAGTGTTTTAGTTCTGTAAGGAAACTGGGATCATAGCAGCTGCCATTGGGCTCTTACCTGGCTGTTTATTCAATTCAACTCATTCAGGGTGAATTTAGGCCATCTGGTAGGGCTTGATGCATTAATGCCCCTTGTTCAAACAGAGGGATATTGAGATTTATTTTTCTTTTGTTTACTTATTGCTTACGTATTTATTGAGTTGAGAGTTTATTCTTCCAAGAACCCCAGGAACTGCCAAGGAAACTTAGCATCCTTATAGAATATTCTTGGTGAAAAAATAATAAAACCTAATGGTCTTTTTCTATGTTCTATTTTTATTTAAAAATCCAATATTTCTTACCACAGAATTTTATAATCTGGCTATGTTCTTGCATAACTCAAGCTCTATAATAAAATTTAATTATTAAAATGAGTGGATTACTTGATAAAAAAAAAAGTATTTGAAGGCTGCAAACTTAATGAGCTTTCCAATTATGTGTCTTTTCTTTTTCTTGAGAATGACTTAGGTGTCGGGAAATAGTTTCCATTAATGTGAGATGAGCAAAAATTATAAAGAAGTAGATTACTCTGGCATGTGCTCTAAGCAGCGTGGTTGGTTTGATCTTTGCAGGTTACCAGCTGACATCGGCTGAGTGTTATGATCTCCGGAGCAGCCGTGTGGTTGCCGATCAATACTGTCACTATTACCCAGAGAATATCAAACCCAAGCCCAAACTTCAGGAGTGCAACTTGGATCCTTGTCCAGCCAGGTCAGTCCAATTTAGCAGTTCACTTATCATACACCTAAATCAGGTTCCCAGTCAACTTCTTAAATTAAAATAAATGTTTAACTTCAGAATAAAGAGCACATTGCTGTCCAGCAGGCACTTCTGCTGCTGTTAGTCATTCACCTGCTCCCTGCACTTGCAGCTGTGTGGCACTGCCTCAGGGTCTGTGGATGTTCCTCTGTGAAGTGCTCTTCAGAGTGAAGCACTCTTTATTCTCTTCTGATGCTTTCTTTTCCTCCTGGACAAGACCCAGTCCAATGAGCATCTTTTTTGTCTTAGCCAGTATCATCGCAATGTCTCACAGATCTTCCCACATTTTTCTGTGTCTCTGATCAAGGATGCCATCAGAGAAGACCATATTGTGGGGTCATAGCTGATTATAGCATGATTCACCCACACTGATTAATTAGGATCAGAACCAGTCTCAAAGTAATTTCACTACCTTTGAACAACGCAGCCTTTGCTAAGTAGAAAGCAGGGCTTTTTTGCAAATCAGATTTCCTTAAGGATCTTTTTAGTTACAAGGTCTAAAGATTTAAACCTTTAACACCTTCACACACCATTGTTTTTGGGGGGAAACCATAATTGGCCCCAGATTATTTACAAGAACAGAAATCAGCCTGACTAATGAAGTGTCTCAGATGATGAATAATTGTGGAGTGCAGGTGGAGACTCTTCATGGGTGGGGCATCTACCGAGGTCCTTAGAGTACTGTCAAGTGACTCTAGTTAGGAACAGTGTGCGCGTCCATAACTTATTAGAGAGGATCTAAGAAAATCTTTCCCCTGCAAAAATAACTATTAATCATGAAAATAAAAAGGTAAACATTCTTTTCCAAAACCCTCAGTTTCTTGGAAATGATTGTATATTTTAAATCCTAGTTTACTAAATATATGTGCATGAAAAGAAAGTTCTGAATGGCTTAATTATCATTTAGCAGTGTGGGTCCAGATCCCTCCATCCTCACTTTGGAAACAATTCAATTCTACTTTGTTTTCTACTGTTGTAAGGGATGTGTTTTGTGCTCTTTTTACCTTATGTCATGAATTCTAAATTATACATGTAATATGAAATTGCTATTATTAATCAACTTTTAGGAACCATAGCGCCTACCTCATAGAAGTGAAATTTATTAAAGGAACTGAAAAAGCAACTATTTTATAAGTTTAAAGTTTAAGTTAGCTTCATGTTACACCATAATATTGTAAATTGAAGTTTGGCTATAATATAAAAACTAAATAAGGTGTTATATTTTGCTTAGATTTGTTTTGGAAATATTAAGCAGTTGAAATATTATTAGCCATGATAATTATAGTGAATGTAGTTGAAGCCTGTTTTTAAATAATTCTAATTTCTGTGCCCTGTAAGGGCAAAAAGCATATTTGGTGCAATTCAGAGGAGTGAACTTAGCCACAGAGAGATTTTGAAAGTCTTGTATACACACTTCTGTAAAAATGTAGATGTGTACATGCACTGGAAAGCCTTTACCCCGCATGGGTCATGCCTTCTCTTCCTAGCCTTCCCCAGATTATATACTTTAGCCCTCCCCAAATCCAGGAGGTCATGTGTGATTGGAGAAAAAAAAAAAGGAGAGAACTAACTTCCGTAAATTGTTCTCTGACCGTCACATATATGTCATGGCACATGCCCCCTGTCAATAATAAATGTTACACACACACACACACACACACACACACACACACACACATTCCCTTCTTTAGAGAAATTTAGATGTGTATTTCTAGGAGAGATGGATTCATTTCCACAGTTCCATGAAGTTTTTCCTCACTAAGAGCAATCTTCAGTGAAGAAACGACCAGAGAAGACAGTTAGGAAATAAAGCATTTTAGTTAACAATTTGAAGAAAATGTGTGTAATCAGAAAACTTTAGTCGTTATTCCTGACCCAATCTTCTCTGTGGGAGAACATTTTTGGTCTAGTTCTTATTATCCAAAAGCAAGAGGCTACAGGGAAAGAAAACTGCCTCTGCCGTGTAAGCCCTGTGTTATTTTTACATATCTGATACAGCACACACATAAATGATGGGACAGGTGGCTATTTTTAAAAGAAGAAAGAAAACGGGGGGGAAAAAGAAGTTAGAAGCAAATGTCAAGAACCAATGTTTTTATGATTGAAGAAGTAATTAGACAAAGTTGTGAAAATTAAAACAGCAGCAGGAGATGCTTGAGGGAAGCAGCCTTGGGTACTGTAGAGCTACTATTAGAGGTGAAGATGTTCCAGGAATCATTAGAAAATTCATGGAATCCTTATGTGCAACTCTTCTGAAGTCCAAAAGGAAATGAGAAGGGAAGTTTTGAAAAGCAGATGGAAGAGACTTTGTAAAATAAGTCTTCCCCATCCAAAAACAGAATCAAGCCAGCAAGCAACTGCTTTGTAAGTACAGATTTAATGGAGTCGTAGTATAGTCAGGAGGGGTACAGCGATGCTAAAGCACTTTTATGTCCCAAATCAGAAACCCTCAAAAGGGAAAACAGACATTCTTAGTATAAAATCACACATCTTTTAATCCCTAGAAAATTTTGCTATATCTAGTCATTGAGATATCAATCCATTTTTCTTGTACATACTAGGATTTTTGGCCTATTATTGTAAGTAGAAGTGAAATCCCATTCAAAGAGCCAGTTCTAATCCTTTTCAAAATAAACAGTAAAAAAAAACGCAAAGTCTGAGCTGTGGAGATGGATCATGTAAGAGACCTTGCTGTGCAAACATGAGGACCTGAGTTCGAATCCCCAGCACCCATGTAAAAACCCATGTGTTTTTAAAACACGTGATTTTTCCAAAATAAATCTAAGCAAAATGTAACACCTTATTTAGTTTTTATATTAAACCCAACTTTAACATTCAATATTCCAGTGTAACATGAAACTAAATAAATCTAAAGCTTAACCACAGAGCTGGGAGGGTACAAATGAGATCTCTGGGGCTTGCTGCCACCAGCCCAACTCCAGTTCATGAGAGACTTTGTCTTAAAGGAATAGGGTAGAGTGTGGTAGAGAAGCTCAGCTGATGTTTTCGTCTGGCCTCCCCTCAAATATAGGCATCCACGTGCACACACACACACACACACACACACACACACACACACACACGTTTTTAAATTACACCTAATAATTCTATAATTTTAGGTTAATTGCTTTACTCTTCCAGGCTTCAGCTTTTTCTCAGGAATGTCCCCCTCCCCGCCGTTTATCCAGGTTCCAGTTCTGCTCTCTTTCCTTTCTTCCTTTTCTTTTCTTGCTTTCCCACCTCTTTTCTACCCCCCCTTTCTCTTTCCCTCCACCCTAGTCTCCTCCTCCTTCCTGTCCTCCTCCCCTTTCCCCCCTTTCCTCCCTCTCCCCCCTCCTCCTCCCTCCTTCCTCCTCATCTGTCCTTTCCCCTTCCCTCTCCTCATCCTCCTCATCCTCCTCCTCCCTCCCCCCTCCTCCCTCTTCCCTTTACCCTTGCCTTGTACTCTCTGTAACAGGCTGACTCCCATGGCTGTAGATGATATTGAATATTGAACAGATTGCTAACATCTAGCCTATTCCCTTCAATGAATTTTTGTTTTCATCACTTTCTCTGATTCTAAATGATAACTCACAAATATTGCTAAATTAAAAGACCAATGAAAACAGTAAAACTTGTTAATAATCCTCAGTGCCCAAGATAAGCACTGTTACTGCTTTTTCCACTTCTGGTCCTGTCACTGGCTCATAATGCAGATGGGATCCTACTCCACAACAGACACCTGGGGTTCAGTGATTTTCTTTCTTTGTTTCTTTCCTTCTAAAGGCAAGTCTCAACATCATGCCAGGCAGCAACTCCCTGACAGCTAAAGCAGGAAATTAAGGAGGTTGTCCTGTCAGCCCAATGGTAGAACCTAGCTGGCTGCCAGAGGGTCCCTCCCACCAGTGGTTTGTTGATTTCTACCTGTCACATATGCAGTCATTTTTTAAATTATTTTCATTGAATTTTTGTACATTTCATACATCTTAATCATATTTAGCCTCCCGCCCCTATCTGCACTCCCCCATTACCCACCCCCACTGGATTTCATGCATATGAAATCGTATATGTTAAGGCCTATCAAGTCAAGTTTGTGTCCCCAGATGTCCCTCAGTGTGAGTTCATCCACCAGAGCCTGATATAGTATCTAGCATCTCTCCAGTAAAGAAGATCAACTCTCCCTCACCCAGCAGTGATCAATTTTATGCAGTCATTTTTATGAAGTGGTAAAAGTTTCCCAGCCAAAAGTGGTCCCAGAAAGAAAGCCAACACTTAATACTAAGGGAAGTAAAGGGGAAAAGAGGTATAAAGATTTAATGACTTCTAGCTAAAATTAATACTGTTTTTCATTGGCAATTCAGAGCCATGATGTCCCTAAATGATTTATGTTCTTACATACTCTGCTGTCTGTTCTGTGCAATGTGGGCACTCCTTGAAGTCCAAAGACACAACCCCCAACTCCACCACCGCCCCAGCACCCCCTGTCTATGAGGGGTCTAGTGCATATTTGGTTTTCTGCTCTGTGTTTTTAACACTATATTATGCTCCTTTTCACATGTAACAAAGGCATTCAGGACCTAATCAAATGTAAATACCCTGACATGTACCTACCATTCTCTAATCATCACCTCTCTCTCACATCAGAAGCTTTGTTGAAATGTGTCAGCACCTTATGCCATTTTTGTCTCTTGGGTGGAACATCAAATCCATTATGTGGCCAGAAAGCCTCAAAGTGTATGCTTGTGGTTCAGCAACAACTAAAAAGGCATCATTTACTTCATCTAATAAACGCCTTATGTTTCAGAGCAGCTTGAGATGTAAAATATGCAGCATTTGTTCCTGTCTCTTAGTCTAAGAAAGACAATTGGCTGTTGGGGGACTTATGTAGGGCACCTTGAGAAGGTCAGAGAGCTCCCTTTTCAGATTTGCTTTGTGCAGACCTTTGGTTTTTCCCTCCAAGGCAGTGATGAACA